AAACTCTAATATTATACAAACTTTAAACTTTAATTAATTAAAAGTTTTTTAATAATTTTAAAAAATTTTCTTAATAATGTTAATAAAGTAGATTTTTAAAAATATATTTTATTTAGAAAGTATATTGCTAAAATTAATATTTAAAATTTTATTAAAAATTAGAGTTTAAAAAAATAAACACAGACAAATTTGCCTGTGTTACAATTTAAGGAATAGATAAATTTAAGTTTTACTAGTTTCAACAATATCCACTAAATTTTTACTAGTTTCACCAGCTACCTGCAACTCTATTTCTATATTTTGTTAGAAATATCTTTTGTAGAATTTTATGGCCTAAATACTTCTAACTTTGACTTTATCTTTGAATTTTGGTGATATTACTAATCTATAACACACATATAACAATTTTATATTTGGTATTGTATAGTATTTATAATTTATATTCATCAATTTTTATGCTATTATATTTTTATGTGATTCATACTATTGTTTAAAATTACTTAAAAGTTTAAGTTTATTTGATTATGAATACAAACTTTTCTTTTTTTTTAATAAAATAGATATTAACTCTAATAACGAACTGTTGTTTAATCAAGAAAATAATTCAAACCTAGAAATTATCAGTGATCGTAAATTTAAAGAACTGTCAGAAACTCTTACAGATAATGAGTTTGAAATTGATAATGAGTTAGATAAACTGTTAAAAAGTAAAAATATACAAATATTAGAAATTTATATTAGACTAATATTTGAAACCTAGAATCATATTAAAAAATAGTTTGATGTATTTGCTTTTTAAGAAGGCTTTAGCTATAGAACTAGAAAAAGTAAATTGGATAATAGTATTATTAGATGACTTATATATAAATATTTTAAATCTGGCAAATATGTTGCATAAATCACTATAGATCTCATGAAATAATATGACAATTCATTGCAAAGAATTGAATACTAATAGAGAGTTAATTTAACATTTTCTAAAACTAGTAGCATTATTAAAGTTGCTTTTTTTGATAATGCTTATAATCACACTATAAATCCTATAATTAGGCAAATAGTACATAAATTTTGTAAATTTACTTATAAAATACTCAATGATATTAAAAGATATACCATTATAGCTCAGATAGACTCTTCTTTTATTTATTTTTTACTTCATTACAATTATTCTGAATATACAATAAATATATGAAATTTATACAACACTATATCTAAGTTTCATTAGAAGAATAATCTTGGAGATTCAGATGCATTACAGATATTACAATTGTTACTATAATAGAAAGATGAAGCTTCATGATAGGTTGTTAAACCTTATATTGACAATATTTTAAGATATTTAATATCAATTATGTGGATGTCACCTTTACAGTTAGACTTATATTCACGGTATTTTGATGTAATTATTATAGATACCACCTTTAATACTAATCGCTTTTGGTTAATCTTGTGTACTATAATTGTTGTTAATAGTAACTATAAGTTGTATATAGTAGCTACAGTATTGCTTGAGAACAAAACTTAAAAATCATTTAATTAGATTTTAGATACTTTGTATCAAGAAACTGAAATATCTTCAAAATCTATTTTTACTGATTCAGATCCTATACTTATAGGAGCCATTAAATATGTATTTTCAGAAGCTAATCATTTTTATATATATTCCATGTTGATTTAAATTTATGAAAAAAGTTAAAGCGTAAATTGGGATAGCAGTTTGAAGGTTTTTATAACCAATTCTATGAATATTGAAATAGCTTTTCAAAAGATTATTCAAAATTCAATAATTATTATTAATTGAAAAATATTCCAATATTGAGAAATATATGTCCGAATTTTTATACAACTATAAAGAGTCATGGGCAATAGCATAGATTAGTAAATACTTTACTACAGAAATACAAAGTACCCAATACATAGAATCGATTAATAATCTTATCTATAATAGGGTAGATTATACAATATCATTGACTGATTTGTTATATAAAATTAACAATTTGAGTAACAATAAAGAAGTATTCAAAAAATTTGAAATTCAAAGAAATGCTATACCAAAAGTTGATTTATCTATAGTTTCTATACAATTTTTTAGTAAAGAGAATAAGGTGATTAAGGTCCATCTTTATCTAATCATTCTTGAAAAACAACAAAATCAAATAAATAAATTATTGTACTATGATGTTTATCTTATTACACAATGGCAAGAAATAATATTAGAACAAAAGCATAATGATAATAATGATAAGCTTGATATAGGATATAGAAAAATGGAGTATAACATATCACAGATTCTTTTTAGTTCTTTAGTGAAAAATATTTCTAATAAACAAATAGTTCAAGTTTGGTAAGTTAAACATACTAGAAGCATAGAGATTGGCAATTATATTGTATTACTCAATAATAGTTCATATTTTTGCATATATATGATATTGATTAATAAGAATATTGTATATTATCATTTTTTTTCTGTATAGAGATTTATTCAAATTTGGTGATATTTTATATCAGTCTTATTTCTTAATGTTGGTTTATAAATCTAAACATTTTAGAGAATAATCTTATACTAATTTAAATTTTATATTCTATTGACAATATGACTAGCTTACCAATATAACAAGTCATATTAAATCATCTATCATCAACTTAGAACAATAAAGCTTCTAATAATACTTCTGAACAGTCTAAAGTATTATATGCACAATTGTTTGAATTTTTTAAAAAAGTAATCAATCTAGCAATTACAAGTAATATGTACAAAAAACTTAAAATACTTTTAAAAAGATTTATCACAAATATTAAATCAAGGATAAATTTATTTGAACATGAAATTTCTAGAAATACAAAAATAAATAATCCAATAATTACAAAGCACAAAAGAAGATTTCCAAAAAATATAAGTCAAGTATTGAAATTATACAATCTAAAGTTCTAGATAAATGAATTAATATAGTATATACAACCTAGTCTTAGCAAATATAATTGATAAAATTCAAATTGCTAATTCTTCTTCAAAAAAAATAATAAACAAAAAATACTATCTTAAAATATTAAGTTAAAACAAGCTAAACACTTTCAAGTTCTTAAAATTTTTTTAAATCTATTTATTAAAAAGTTATAGCAGGTTAAAGTTATAGTTTTTTATAATTAAATATGAAATTTGGCCACCTTTTATATATATATAAAAAGACAAATTTGGTCTCTTTAAACAATTAATTTAATTTTATATATATTAAAATTTTAAAATTTGGCCACTTTATATATATTAAATTTTTAAAATTTGACCACTTTATATATATTAAAATTTTAAAATTTGGTCACTTTATATATATTAAAATTTTAAAATTTGGCTACTTTATATATAAATATTAGCTAAATTTTCAAATTGGCCTCTTCATATATATAAAAAATAAAATCTGAATTTGGCTACTCAAAATTTTGATTTGCTGTGACTAGGTTATACATACTGTATAATCAAAAATAATGAAAACAATCAAGAAACTACGAATATACATAATCGAAAATATAGCAAATACAAACAAATAGATTATTATGCTAAAAATATTCCAATTAAATACATAAGCTTTTTCTTTATCTTGTATATGATTTTTCATTACTTAATATTTAATATTTGTTTAATATTCATAATTTGATTTTTTTCAGACACAAATTTATATTTTAAGATTTTTAAATGTATATGTACTTTTTTCTTCTTTTTACATGTGATTTTTCATTGCATTATGTAGCTATTAGTGTTCCTCAAAATCAAATTAAATCAAATATTAGGC